TGTTGAAGGTCCGGCACGCCCTAGGGCACAGCGGTGTAGGAATAATAATAAAATAAAAGAAAGAGGCCAACAACGGTTCCCGTCCGTGCATAGGAAGCAGGCTGGTATTCTTCGCCAAGTCGGACACAGTCATGAGGTTGATCGTGTTGCTGTGCAGCCTGTCGGCAACGGCAAGAGAACACACGAGAGGTGCTCGGAAATATAGGATCAGATAACACTATACGACAGACCACACATGATGACGATTGAAGAATCCTTTGAGATTGTATAATGCAAGAGATTCTAGTACGCTGAAACTGCTACCCTCTGAAGCTTTAATCGTCTCCAAAGAGCCCGTGTTGCCGTCCTGCTCCTGCCACTCTTTCAGAACAAAGAGAGTAGAGACCGTGTCTGGATGATTCCGGCCTAGTACTTGCTGCTGGTGATGGAAGCAGGTCTTCATCAAGAATAAAGCGTCTCCAAGGCGGGCCTGACATCTCCAGGTATGAGCGAGGCTGGCCATGCTAGTCAGCGTCGAGGGATGCTCCTCTCCCAGCACCTCTTAAACGCCTCCATCACTTGCACCTCCCATGCCAGTCATCCAAGTTTGTCGAGTGTACTCCTTCACCATGCCTCAACTTCAATCCCAGGCCGAACTGTCACGTCCTCTAACATCTTCTTTGCGGTGCTCGCCACAACCTTGGATGCCGCCTTCAGGCCCTCGACGGCTTCCTTTGGCGGCTCGGGCAGTCGAGCTGTCTCCTTGGCGAACCGGTCAACCCGGGACTGCATATCGGCCTTCAGTTTCGCCTGTGTCTGTGGGCCTGTTAGTCTCTCAGCCATGTTCGATGTCTTGACAGGAACCACATACCTCCTTTGCGATCTTTTCAATGTTCGATTGTGCTTTAGTCGACCATTGTTGCAGCTCCCTCGCCTTCGCTGCAGCACCGCCCTCTTCCAGCGCAGTAGCAAACACATCGGCAAGCAACTCCATTCCCGGGATGATGTCCGTCCCAGACAACTTCACCCACATGGCTGAAACCTCTCCGTAGGCCGAGAAGTACGAACGGATCGTCACAATGGACTGGTACACGGCCTGCTTCTGGCTATCTGCCCAACTGTGTGCACCTACCAAGCCGTTGTCGCTCTTCTGCAAATTCGTGTCCAGATTCTTGATGAAGGGTTGCACCAGTTGTTCCACCATTACTTTGATCAGCCGTGCCATGGCGTCGAAGAAGTAGCACAGCTTGGCGATGTGCTTCTTCATCGTTGCCACCAGGCGCACGCTTTCTTTGAGGATCTCCAGGACGGCCTTGAGATGCAGCGACGATGACTGGAACTTGCTGAGATTGGCTTGGATGTCGGCCATCTTGGTACGCGACTCGATGAGGATTCGCTCGCTCTCGAGGTAGTTCTTCTGCGTCGCGATGTAAGCGTCACGGGTCATACGAAGTCTGTTTGTTGCTCCCTCCATGACGCCGAGCGACTTCTGCATGTCCTTCTCGCCAGCCGCAGCTGTCGACTTTAGAGCCGGAAACTAGGTCAAGTAAGTCAAAAGCTCCTTGCGAGTCAAAAGCTCCTTGCGTCTTGGTCCAGTCGGTCACTTACGCCATTGGGTGAGTTGCCAGGGAAGGACGTTCCGGCGCTGTACAGCTCCAAGGCACTCTGGTATTGCTCAGCAAAGGCCTTCTTCCACTCCCGAACGAGCATATCGTCAGCCGTCAGGCGGGAGTGGGTTGCGTCTTCCTCGTTGTCGATGGCTTCCTGTTTGATACCAGCAACGACTTTGTTCACCTCTTCAAGAGCTGTGGCATACTTCTCGCTGGCCTCGCTATCGGTCGCAAGCTGGCTGAATGCTTGTACGGCGTTGGCAAATCCTGCGGCGATGATGGAAATGGTGTTCTTGCCCTTCGACTTGCCCGAGTCGTCCTCCGGCTTGGACTGCGCCTTGTCCCAATCAATGTCGGCACCCGCCTCAACTGGCACGACTTCTTTCAGCATGTTGAACCAAATCATGTCCTTTCTGGCCGCCGAGAAGGCCGGGTCCGCAACGAATTGAGCAACTGACTGGACCGGGGCGGCGCCGGTGGCCTCATCGTTGGCCTTGTTGAGTCCGTTCTGGATGGAGCCCGCGGCATTTACTGCGTCTTTGGTCAGGTCGCCCAGAATGTTAGTCGCGGCAGAGACCTTCTTCATTGGCGAGAGCTGTTCCATGAGCACAGGGATAGCTGTGTTGACCACAGTGGTGACGCAGTCCGCAAGGCCGGCCACAATCTGTTGTCCGACTACGTCCCATCTAAAGCACCGTCAGTCCCTGCCCTCGAAGCTCACGGCTAGCAATGACACTCACCCAGATGGAAACTCATTGGAGGCTTTCTGATACGCTTCGCGAGTAACCGTGAGCTCCAGATCCATCCTCTTAGACAGCTCCTCTGCTGCTGCAGTGGCTCGCTCTTGGCCCTTAAGTCGCACTTTCTCCGCCTCCAAGCTCAGGTTGGTGTCAGCGATCTCGCTTTTTGTTAGGCCGAGCTTTCTCTGGCATGCCTGACTGAGCTCCATGATGAGCTCAAGCAAGTGGTCAAACTTGTCGTCGATACCCTTCGACTCGGCGGCACAGTACTCAGCAGCAGCGCGGAGCTCTTCCATGTAGTCGAGGAGGTTATCCTTGGAGCCTCTTGGATCAACGAGAGTGCTGATAATTCGGATCACCTAACTGTGTCAACATCGCCGGCTGCGTTCGGGAAATCAGAGGACTGTCGTACCGTCTTGTCCACGATGTTAACGCGGTCACCAATCTCACCGAGGCCTCCATGGGCATTATCAAAGGCCAAACGGCCTTCATCGACGCACTGCATGAGGTTCGTCGAGACATCGTCATGGCTGAAACTCGGGGTCAGCCACGCGTCTCTATCAGCATCTGTACCTGGCTTCACGCCACTCACCGCATGAACCGAAATTCCGGATCGCCCGGTTTTCTGAGTTCGATCCGGTCGATGGCGCTTGCTGCAACACAACAGGCTCCGAGGGCGCCGAGGGCAATGGGCGCTGACATCAACAGCGTTTCCCAGTCGGTGCGGAACAGCAGAGTGCTCTTGATGTCTGAGCTGATGCCCTTGGTGTCGACTGGAGCTAGGTCGCTAATGACCTTGGCTACCTCGGCCATGATTGCGTTGGACATTGTGGAGGTTGGGTTAAGTGAAGTTTTGTTGGGGATGAAATTTTTGGGGTGTAGAGAGACAGGGAAGGACTCTCGTCTCGGACAAACGTCTTTATCAATCTTCATCAACGTCCAGGAGATGCTTGGGTCCTCAAGCTGCCTCCGAGGTTGTTGGTCATCACGACATATTCACCGGCACTGGTATTTCCCACCAGAACCCGGCAGGGTCTCGGCTTCCCCGAAGTCGAAGCACTTCGTAGGGCGGAGAGCGTGTCAACCACTTGAGATACTTGGCAAGCTTCGATGCCCGTGCTAGTCCTCCATTGGGACGCCATGTTATGTTGCTAGACGCACATTCGACCGTCCGTAGAATTATCGAAGCCAAGGCTGGACCAACCGTCTCTCACCATGATGGGACAACATTGGCTGCGGATCATGTCAGCCCTGGAGGGACTGACCGACGGGATGCCCGATGCCCTTCGGCCTGCGGTTTCGGCCGAGCTGGTAGCATGATGTGGTGCCCAAGTTGTCGATGATCGGCATGTGGCGCTTGCCGTGCATGGCTGAATCTCAGGTGGCTGCAGGACGGTTGCATCATGCAGTCCAGAGGGTTGGCTTGGGCACTGCGAATGCGGCAAGGGGAAGGGATGGCCTGATGATCAAGTCTTCGAAAGCTGGGCCGGCTTCCTCTGTGGTATGCATGGCCTCGGTCGGCCGTTTCGCAGATTGCTGTAGTCGAAATCGAGTGTCATTCGTCTGCGGCTGTCCCGGGCGCTCGAAAGGCGGCTGGCGGAGCTCCTGCAAAGTCGGGTTGCCAGATTTGGCATGGTATGTATGAGGGTTGTGAATTCGCGTCAACTCACATTTCTAGAGCGTAAACCCTGCCCATGGTCGTTACCTACTTGATTCTCAAAGCAACGAGCGAGTTCCAAACACCAGAAACCCTCGCTCTAATTTGAGCTTCGTCATGGCGTCAGACAGCACCAGCATCCCGACCAAACAGGACGTGGAGATCCTCCAGCGCCAGTTCGACTCCAAATTCTTCGAGTACCAACTGTCATGCCGTGACACGAAGGTCACTGCGGCCCAGGTTCCTGCGACGGCCACCCGGCTGCTGAACGGCGCCCTGGCCTGGCTTCACGAGGTTGCCGTCTTCATCCGAGGGAACTATGACCCCAGCACAGCCGATGCCGGCAAGCGGGCCAATTTGTTCAAAAGCACGGCTGCTGCATTTCTGCATGCGTCGGACATGGTTCACAACGCGAGAAGTGTGATAGCCGAAAAGGAGCAAAAGGTCAGGGCGCACGCTGAAGGAGCATCCTGAATTGTTGTCCTGACGCCTCCCAGATGAACTCACTCCAGACCGAGTTTGCAGCCCAGAAAACTAGCATCGATGGTGTCATTACCAATGCCCGGCACGCCATTGAGACAGCCACCAGAGAGCAAGGGGAGAAGACCGCAATGCTGGAGAAGCTCAAGGAGCAGCTCAAGGCGCAGAGCGATGTCCAAAGGGATCTCGAAGAGAAATACCACGATTGGCAGGACAAGGACGCCAAGGCCAATGCCATAGCTTCAATTGTGAGTGATACCCTGAGCGCCAGTTCTCCTCGGAAGACTACTGAGACCTCACCCGCATCGCAGTTCCACGCGGGTGAACTGTGGAAATATGTGGAGGAGTTGATTCCACCTCTCGACTTCCACAGCAAAGCCGCGAATGCCAAAGCCGAGGTTGCCAAGTCGGAGAGCCTCGTCTCCGACACCGAGAAGAGCATCCGGGAACTCAGCGAGTCCATTCAGGTTCTCGGAAGCCGAAGGGACGCCCTCCTCGCTCTCAAGGGCAGCCTTGACTTGATGGAGACCAAGCTAGCCGACGAGAAAACTACCGCAGGCCAGTGCGTGACCGAGATCGCAGCTCTGGCCAAGGTTGCCCGCGGTTTGTACTCCAAAGCCCTTACTCTGTCCAAGAAGGCGAAAATCATCGTCGACCCCACTTCACCGAAGAGGTCCAAGGACGTCCTCGCGGGGCTCATCATGGCCATTTGCGAGAGCGTGCTTGAAGGACAAAAGCTCGGCGTTGACAAAAAAGTCAAGTTCGTCGTGGACGAGATCATCGGCCACTACGGCTCTGAGGTGCCCGAGGACATCACTGCCATTGCTAGCAGAATCTCATATGCTCGGTCCAAGCGCGCCCCGCCGGCTCAGCATCTTGAGATTCTAGGCGCCTCGTACGCAGGTATCGACATCACGCCGGCTGTGAGGGAGGCCGTCATCCAGGACGGAAACAAGGCGCTGAGTCTCCGTCCGAGGACCTCCTCAGGATGGGGATTCATATACACCTTTTTGAATGGAAGAGATCCCATGCCTGGCGTGAAGAAGGCGCTGACGGTGCTGTACCAGTTTGAGGGACAGGAAATGGAGCTTCTTGTCACGTGGGATGGCAGTGAGGGTGATACGGACGAGGTGCTCATTACCGAGCCGCTCCCACCGGCGAAGGACAGGGTGAGGGAGAAGGGATGGTACGTATTATTTGCTGTCCAGACGGGAAGCAATCTAACCATGACTCTCAGGAACATCACTCGCATCCCCATGACAACCTCCATGGACGATATCGACGAGGAAGCCGTCGCGGTGCTTGCCATCGCGTACGGGTACGAGTACTGCACCCCTGAGAAGAACCCGGATATATACACGAATATTGCGGAGCTTGCTCTTGGGGACACGTACCAGGTGTCGTCCGAGACGTTTGGGGGCAATCTGGTTCCTAATGTTACGAAGACGGCGACGGTGTTTTATACGAGAGGGTTGTCGCCTGTTTTTGTGGCTGGTGCGCAGGACTTCGGGGATCTTGTGTTTGAAGAGTGAGGTGGAAGGGGTGTTTTTGTTGGGAGGAGTTTTGTTGAAAGTTTATTTAGGATGGTGAAGACGATGTCAAGGCCTTTCTAGATAGCTCCAGCGGGTTTCATAACAGCTTCAGGGCGTTTCTAGCGGTTCCAATGCGTTTCAAGGTGGCTTTAAGGCTTGCCAATTCACTTAAAGCCTATTCACGATGGCTTCCATGACCCTCAGAGTAGCCCCACGGCCTCATAGACATCGAACTACTCTAGGTAAGAAGACCTTGAAGTATCCCGGGATGATTCACCATCAAAACCCCTACCCTCATGGCCACAGTGGAATACCCGTCCGCTTGCTCGGCCTCTCGGCACACCTACTCTCGCTCATTGCCCGTCTGGCTGAGTTGACGATGTCTCCTCCCAAACCGCAGCACCGCGCGGCCTTCCTTCTTCTTGGCGGATTGCAGATCCCTTCTTCTTTTGACGCCAACGTAGCGACGACGCAGAGCTGAAAGCTGAAGTCGGAATACCAATTTCGGACTAGGCGCTGCAGCTGCGAGGCCACCAACCAAGAGACGCAAGTGTTCGGAGCTTACATGCAGCTCAGTGCAGATGTGGGAGCTTTATGGACCGGTGCCTTGCTGAGATTGAGGGGAAGATGCATTGAGACTGAGGGCTGAATGCATCGAGAGATGGTGGATGTTTGGGGTTGGTGAGAGGTTCGGGGAGTCCGATGCAGATGGGTGACTTTGCATGGATGATGGATGGCTCTGGCGCCGACGCGTGGTCGAGCTTCTCTCGGATGCGCCGAGGCTTAGCGGGGAGCACAGTGGTTGGAGGTGCTGGTGGTGCCACGACTCTGGGTTGCATAAAAGCCGCCGAGCACTGGAGTCAAAACACAGGAGTGCACAGTTGACGAAAGAAATCGGCGGCTCTGACTTTCCTTCTAGACTTGCCTTACTCCTCCCACCACGCCCCTTCCACCATCATGAACAACCAAGGAGGACTCAGCGGAGCCCACATCTGGTCCAGCAGGAACGTCGGCGGCCATATTAACTTCCGCTTCATGAGGCGGCCCATTGGATGGCTGAAGAAGCTCGAGGACGATGTGTACAAGATTCGAAGCCCCGAGATCGAAAATAACCAGCAGTGGACCAGAAGCCCGCTCGAGTTCAACTCTCGATGCTGGCTCCATGCTGAAATGGCCCCAAACGGGGATCCTGAGGAGTACGAGCGCGAGTTAAAGGTGTGTTGCAGAGCTCCAATACGCTATGGGAGTGGTGCTGACTGCGGCGGTTGCCAGAGATGGTATCCCGTGTTGTCGCAGAGCTACGTTGTTGACGAGGAGAGGGAGCGAACACTTTTCTACGAGCACAAGGAAACGGGGGAACAGGTGAAGGTGGTGGACTATCATCGCTGGACAGTTTATAGCGATGGGAGTTATGATGAGGTACTTCACTTTGATGTCCTACGTCTCCGTTGCGAGGTGCTAACGCTTAGCACAGTACAACATTCTCGACGCTCTGGACGATCGGCGGAAACCTCAAGATCAAAACAAACCGACGGCCGACAGACCAGAATTTACGGCGGACATGCCGGCAGACGGACAACCACTGACGGAAGGGGTGGAGTTTACGATTGACAGCGCGTGGCAAGACGACCTCGACGCCATCTGGGCTGGTGAGCGTGGCATCCCTTGCCTGATCAAGCGCGAAGAAGACCGTCCCGGGCTAAAGTACTCCGAATTTCTCACTCTCAACGAGACGCCGTTCTCCAAATCCACGTTTCTTAAAGGAACCGACACCTCCCAATACCGGGTAATTCATGGCACGGGTGTCGACAACTTCACCAACTGGGTCTGGCTCTACCGCCGCGCCAGAGCAAACGGCGAGACTTCAACCAACCCATCCTCGGAATACCACGGACCCTGCATCGTCCTTCTGGCCAAGATCAAGTGGAGAGTAGAACACAACCACCACTATAAGTACGACGAAGACGGAAAGCTTTTTGGCGTTGACCCAGCTGGCAGCAAGACAACGCTCCTCGACGACAATTCAAACCCGGTCGATGCGGAATGGATGTACTTCACCCCCTTATCCTCTCCCGAAGTCCATCACACCCGCCCGACAAAGGCCGAGTCTAACGGTCGGCCGCTTGAGTTTCCCGACATTCGCTTCGACAGCGACATCAGCCGCTGGACGCAGTGGGACGTCTACCATGCGAAGAAGAACGCTGATGGCGTCCTGGGAGAATTCGAGCCCAAGTCGCGCTATGATAGGTGGTTTCGAACGATTCTGGAAGGGTCTGAGGATATTATGAAGAATCGTATGGAGAGAGAGATCAACCCCGAGTTGCATTTGCTTCTGAATGAGGCAAGGGCTGAGTTTGGGGGTGTCAAGTTCAGACCGAAGGAGGCGCCGGGCATGTTCAAGCCTCTGTCTAAGGGTGACAGTTTCACGAGAGGTACCACCCGTGGAGGACGTGGTGGTAATTCAGGGGTATTCCTTGGGGCGAGGGGTAACAGAGGCGGGAGCAGTACCTGACACCCATAGGAAGAGAGCCGAACGCGAGGAAGCCCACGTGAGCAGGAACTAAGAAGGAGAAAGACAAAGACTTAGATAACGATTAGTGGATTCCGCACGTAGCTAGTAAGGAATACTTGGATCGCCTGGGTTGCTGTATCGCGCTCTATGAGAAAATTTTCCCAAACGCTGGCGGAGTCGATCTTGGCCCACCATGTGCATTATCTCAACGCCAACGCGTGGCCTGCGACACATGCAAGTCTGCTAGACACTATGAGTTCACCGATCTCTATCTCACTCACCTACGATGGTCGCTAAGAAGACCACTCTTGCGCTTATTGCGCTCTCCAGGATTACACTCGCGATACCTACACCTGGTGATGTGGTGCCTGGCGCCACCGTTGGCTCGAAGATGGGAGAGAGCCGAGGTTCGAACACGAAGGGACTTTTACTCTGTTCTACAGGGAACGAGTCCCACAGCTTGTGACGAATCTCAAAGCCCCTACTTCTGAAAGGGACTCCTGAAGGTTATAGCTTTGACAACGGGGTGAGGTTCGGTGAAGCCAAAGGGTTCACAACAAGCAATGTCCAAAGGTACTGACAATCTTGCACTTAAGTTGCTTACTGGAGAACTCCCAGAGTCCTCCAGAACGAGTGACTATATACTTGGTAGAGCCTTCATGATCGCCCATGATCGCAGCCTACCAAGAGCTATCCTTGATCGCCTTGGGTAGCCAGCTACCCAAGTCTACCCTTGATCGCCCGGCCCCCACGGCTACCGTGTGGGCCTCGTGCGGTTCCTGCGGTTCTGCCTTGTGCCCCACTGGGCCTGTACATATGGTTGGTTCGTGACACAGCTGCACGGCTAATGGCAGGGTCCGGAGCAATTACACGAAAATACACGTTGAAGTTGAATTGCAGTTGAAATCTCCGTACATTTCAGTTACACAGACGACCGCCGAAAATCCATGCAATCTCAACATGCTAATATCCTCCTGACAACGAAGCGGTGAGATGGTCGGCAGAACTCCCACCGCGCTACTGGCTGGTGAGGTTGGTGTTCTGGCCTACCGGCCACCATAATGGCTACAGAAGCACCTGCAACCGTCGCCCCCGTTCCTGGGCGCACTGAAGAAGATCAAGCCTTTCTCTTCAGGCGATTTCCAGGCTACCTGTTGACGGAGCAAAAAGAGGCTTCAGAACCGCCTACCAAAATCCCTCGCCTTTCCGGCAATAGGTTTGCCGCCTTCAGAAGCCAGGAGCGAAGTCGAGCAAGCTCAGCGTCTGTCTCTTCTTCACCCTTCCCATCTCCAGCGCCAGTCGACCTTGACGAGTTTGAGCGTTGGCAACTGGAAGAGAGCGACTCTGATCGGTACGAGGAGGATCCCCGTGCCTACTGGCATAAAAGAAGAAGCACCTATCCACGGCTTGCGCGTATGGCGTTGGACCTACACACAGTACTTCCCATGAGCGCAGAGGTTGAGCGTTTGTTCAGCGCTACCGGCCACATGGTTACTTCTCTCCGCAACCGGCTCTAGGCAAACACTATAGCTCTGTGTCAGATCCTTCGCAGCTGGTACGACGTCAGCGTGATCAGTGATCTTGATCCAATACTGTCATGGAAGACACATGAACCCAGAGAAGATGACTGATGACGGCCAGGGTAAGGGATGGATATTGTTGAACTGAGTGGGTTCCTTGGCACCAAGATTCACGGACTGAGCACTGATGTTCAATGCGAGACTCTCAGTCAGCACAGATCCATCACAATGACACAGTTCCTGACATAACGTCATATCATGGCACACTGTCTCTATATAAGGGGGTAAATCCCCTGGGAGGATTAGAGAGGACAATTTTTCTGTTCCAACAAGAAAGGGACATTCTGAGACACCCTAACCCACTATCTTGATCCTTCATTTGTGTGGTCACTCTGGAATCGTGACTCCAATTCAAGCTTCGTTTCATTCCTCAATCTGTTCAATACCATTTGGTTGATCTAAGCTTACTTGAGCATGTAACTGTTGGCTGCCCAACAGATATGGGGTGGCCGGTTTTCTTTTTGTTGCAGGGGAAGCAAGCGGGGCAGAAAAACGGTCATTGGCTGGATACGGAAGAATTATGTGGGGCGCAGCGAGAAATGTGGGTCTTATCGCCCACGTGACTGCAACTGCAATATTTGCATCCACTCCCATGTGAGCCTTCGATAGATCAATTCAACGGGGCTCCCACTAGGCGCACATCCATGGCGCCCACTAGACTCACGGGTCCGTGTCGCTTAGCTAAGCACAACGATTATCTAAGCACTCAAAAAATGCATCTAACGCGGCCACCGCCCCCGCTCCACCAACACCACTGTCATTGCCATCATCGCCAGCGTCCACTACAGTACATCTGAATACCGCAAAGGGCATGCCCTCGACGTCCTTGTGTGGCCAACTGCGTGGCACCTTGTACACTTGCTTGGAGCCCGACGGGGCTGCACTGCCTGGACCTTGGCCTCAACTACCTCGAACTGGCTGGGCTCCCGCTTAGTACTTGATCTTGGGAGTGAGCTTTGGGTCCGAATTGGCTCAATGCGCTGGCGAGGCTCAAGGAGTAGTTGCGGAGCTCCCTCGCGCTTTAGATGCCAGTGCGAATGGAAGTGGTTGAGAAGAAGAGGCTCGCCTTGACGAGCATCTAATACGTGTAAGCATGGGAGCCCATATACTCGAGAGAAAGTGCCTGTACAAATCGGGGATGGAGGGGGGTCCCTCTTCGCGAGTAACCTCCGTTGCTCCTCAATTTTCCTTAATGCCTCATGCGACACCCATCCTTGTACAGCTCTGTATAAAGTCCCTGAGAGCTCAAGAGGTGTTCGGGTCTGTTGCTTCGCCTGGGTTGACTGCAACTCGGAGAGTTGGTTGAGGAGGGCGAGGCGAATCGCTTTCCAGGCTTCAAAAAAGTCGAATGTCGATCTCTTCAAGTACGACTTGAGAAGCGCATGAATCCCCTCAACTCGCGAGGTAGCTGTATTGCCAAAATGAGTCGATTGGTCGACCCAAGCGCGCACGAGCTTCTCCTTAAACGGAATAAGCCACGTAGCCTTAATGTACCCAACTTCCTTAGAGTGCTCGGGAATATACTTTTGCTGGAACTCGGAAAGGCGTCTGGTATACTCTTCCTCGGTGGGCGAGTCGATAATCGAGTGCCAAGAGCTGTAGAACTCCTTCCACTTCTCAGCCTCCGAGAATGATGGCTGGCATCGGGCGAGGACTGCCTTATTTGCGTGCCAGAGGCAGAGGAGCACTGCAGCAGAAGGGAAGAGCGTGGAAGCTGCATTGATAAGTGCAAGGCAGCGGTCTGTAAGAATGATAGACGGGAGAGCAGTGTTGCATTGCTCGTAAAGCGACCTCAAGCGCTCAAGCGCCCATATATAGTCTTCTTCTGTCTCGCCGCTAAGAAATACAAACGCGATACAGAAAGACCGCTGAGTCGCGTCGACACCGATCATATCGAGGAGAGGCATACCGTACTTGTTCGTCTTGTACGTGCAGTCGAGAAGGAGGAGGTCAGGGTATGCTCGAAGATAGCTAAGAGAGTCGGGATGCGCAAAAAGGACTGCTGTAACTCGGCCATCGGGTGCGAACTGAATGCGACTCCAAAAGCCCTCCTTGTCGAGTCGATTGGCTAGCGCATGAATTGCACTCTGACCTTCGCATGCATCTCGACGTACATTTGCAACCCGGTTGTAGATGTCTTGCCTTGTAGCTAGCGAGCCGCTCTGCCGTACGAGTGTCTGGATCTCTTTTGGCGAGATACCAGCTTCAGAAAAGCTTGCAAGCTGTGATGTCCCTCCAGAGAGTTGCCGATGAACTGGATGGGCGGATGGGTGCTGGCTTGGCTCATGGTTATGTGCGGCAAAGCGTTGATCAGAACGATGCTTTAGATCCCAGCCGCCGTCTGTCGTCTCTTTTGCTATAACTGAAAAAGGGCAATTCGTCTTCCGAGTTGTCGTTCTTCTCTGACGCTCCCCGCCGCGTGGAGGATCACCAGATCGATCGCATGCGTAGATGACAGTTGAGGTGCCATTTTTCTCTTTCGTCGACCTTAAGAGTCGTAAAAGCGTAGCCTCTCGGCTTCGCCCACGCATTGATTGACTCGAATAAGGCTTGCCGAGACTCGAAATAGCGTTCGGGAGGAAGGCAGTCGCCTGGGAAGGCGGCCATAGTGATGGCGCTGGCTGTGGTGCGGGCGCGGAAAAATGGCCGCGTTAGATGCATTTTTTGAGTGCTTAGATAATCGTTGTGCTTAGCTAAGCGACACGGACCCGTGAGTCTAGTGGGCGCCACACTATCGGCTTTAGTTACGAAAACCAGGAAGCCAGCAAGGACCATCCACTTCGACTCCACCACAGCAAGAAAACAATTATCAGTAACTACCCCGATATGCGGGTACGTGAAAATGATGGGGATCAACGACTCAAGCGTCACCTGCGTCTCCCGCGAGTGCCACGGCCGTGTCGAAAGGGGCATCTTCTCCGCCCCCATCATGGCGTGTATATATGCCTCGCCAATGATGTGCCACCCGGCGTGGTCCTTATCATCCGTCCCGACTATTGTCGCGACCTGCCGTGCAATCACCGGCTGGCCGTGCCCGACAACCACTATCACGGCGTTCCCGAGACGGGCCTGGGCCGGAGCCAGCCCGAGCAAGCCAGATTTGGTGGTCACCAGCCGCCGCCATCTTGTGCGGGCCGCCATGGCCTGGCTTGCGGCGGCTGTGTCCCGCGCGGGATTGGAGTCGGGGAGCTTGAGTCTGAATCGGTGGCGTTGGAGCCATGTACAAGGGGCGGCCGATGACCATGAAATCGGCACTGGAGTTGAGAAGATGCCAGTTCCGGTAGAAGGAGGAGTGTGAAGACGGCTGCTCGACGGGGAATTCAGTGTAGAGGCAGCGGAAGGAATCGGGCGCCCGAGCCCCGTTGGTGGTGCACTCTCCAACGAGCACGTCGTAAATGGCCACGGCCCCTGCCTCGCCCCTTCCCACGTCGCCGTTTCTGCCGTGCACTGAGCTTGTCGGTTGCCGTGCTTGAAATAGTTCATCCTCGCTCATAATCGCCATTGAGCCGCCTAAAATGTCGGCGAGCGAGACGGCCCCCGTGCCGGATGCATGCGGCGGTGAACTCGGTGAAGACGGCGGCGAGCGGCTTCTTGTAGTCGACGGTGATGCCTAGATCAGGCACGCCGGAGACGCTGAGCATGCGGTAGATTTGGTCGTGGGGCACTGAGAACAACGCCTGCGAGGCGAGAACAATCGCTCGGCTGAGGGCGCCGCCCAACAGTGGGCCTTCCGAGAAGACGGCGGGAACCACCAGGGTGAGCTGGTTGGGCGGCACCGGAGCCACGCTGCGTCGATGGCTGTGATTTCCAACTGGGCAATCTGCGCCACGTGGAGAAGAGAGTGCTCCAGGGGCTGTATCCTGGACCCCAGCACTTCCCACATGGCGTGTTCGAGGATGTCCAGCATCGACGTTAACCGGAGAAGCCCATCGCGGATATGCCGCCATTGCGTTACCCGCTGGCCGCAGACAATCGGCATGCCGCCGCGGCCCATGCAGATCTCCTGGATGATCCAGACACGCCTCCAGTACGGGCGGTCGAAGAAGTGGTACAGCTTCTCAGCCATGGTATGGAGCGCACTGTCCTCGACGTCGAGCGCGTCTTCCCTCAGCTGGTCGTAGCCTGTCCGCATGCGCATGCGAGCTATGTCTCGCCACGTGGTGGCCGTGATCGCGTCGGACGCATCCAGCAGCTCGTAGTACTCGGCTCGGTACGTGGTTCCCAAAGACTCGAGGAGTGATATCACCTGGTCGCTGTCGTCGGCCTCGGGGCCCAGCCACACGATGACATTCCCAGCGTGGCGGTAGATGGAGGCCATCAAGGGCACCTGCTCCTGTTTCTCGGCGAGATCCCTCTGGTTGATGCAAACGGCATCAGCCCAGAGCTTTCCGCCGAGCCGGAAGTAGTCCATGGCCCGGAAACGGCGGAAACCAGCCTCCAGATTTTTCCCAACCATCATTCGATTTCCGTTGACGAGGATCTCGACCATCGGTTGCGGTGGGCGGCCCCAGGCGTAGGACATGGCGACGTAGCTCCCGGGTTGCTGAACTGCTGCCTTCAGGTATTGCAGGTAAGTCGGTTAAGTCGGCGGATCCGAGGCTGGTACTCGAAAGAAAGGGTTTAGGTCGCGTAGAAGGAGCCGACCAGTATGCAATACAGGAGATGCTTTTCCGATGAACAAGTTCGAGCCATGTTCATTTTCGTGTCTGTGGATGATATGTTGTCTCCTTTGGATGAGATGCTCGTAATCATCTCCGCCAGCTGCCCCATAGCCGAGCCTCGTCATCCTTCTCAGTTCTTCCTTGCCGAGATAAATGACAATCTCGCGGGCAGGGCTGGTCAGGTAAGGATCCGACTTGAGGCCGATGACGGGCCCAAGCAGCTTGAGCATGCCCCGGTTCACTCGGCTGTTGAGCCGCTCTTCAAGTTGCCTGATGACGGGATCGAATTTTTCCCGTCACTCTCTGGCATGCACCTCCTCCGGGGGCGCAGTCACACAGGGGTCGAAGTTGATGCAGTTGGATGGCAAGGCCTCGCCCCATGCCGATGCCCCTTTGGACAATGTGCAGACTTCCATTCTGCATTCCACTCGAGCACTCTCATTAGTAGCGTATGCAGGAACGGGAAGAATGGTGAGAAGGCGGATCTGGCGGCCTACCAGTGGCATGTCATGGTAAATCGGGTCGCTCGTTGGCCGGTATTCGTTCATTGCGCTGGGATACTTGGTTACTGTGGCCGGAGAGTCCCGCACGAGAAAAGAGAGAAGGAGAGAGAGCGGGGAATCGACTGTTCATGGCTCATGGCTTAGGTTGTTCGGGAGCACAGCCGTACCACGCTAACCTCAACTTCATTTAGGCTCTCAGCCTTCTCATGAGATGACCGCCTGTTCAGCCAAGCAGGTGTACTTTGTTGGGATATCTCTTCGGGCAGCCTTTATCTTGACAGGATCTGTGTCCCACCTGATTGGGGTATCACTTAGCACCTGCACCATTACAAGTTTGAAGTGGATTGATTAACACTGACATACGAGAAACCAGTTCAGCTTCCTTGGCTTTTGCTGGTAAGTCAGCACCAGGTGCTTGAAGTGAGAGCGAAGAGAGCGTCGGCATAACCCACTTCTCGATATTTTATGCACGACTGCCCAATATTATGCAACAGCTACGGCCGGAATCATTACAAGAACGGCCGTGCGGGGACGAGCAAGATATCCATAGACTCGTCAATGGTAATCCCTTATCCAGCCTTAGCTCGGAGACGCGTGAAACCATCATCGACGGCTTTGCGACATGGCCCCTGCGAACGGCGACTTTGAGGGCAACGACTTTGCCAACAATCTCTTCAGCGACCTGGGCCCTCTGCTCAAGGCCATCATTGGAAGGTAAAAGCTGTCCCCGACCTGACCAACGTGCTTGCATTGTACTTGAGTCTGACAGCCACCAAAGGGCGAGGGAAGAGAGGTCCACCGCCGAAACCGAACTGCTTTCTCCAACGTCCTAAGACGTCTGCGAGCTCTGGATAGGAAAAGAAATTGCGCCAGTCCGTGGGCAGCCCAAATTGTCTAGACCAATGATCATTGCTGCCGACGGAAGGGCTCTGAGCACTACTAAGGACCCGATTGTGGAGTTGTTCGGGGCTGAACATATCAGGGCTTTAACTACTTACTGTACAAGAGTTGCTCTCAGCTGCCACAAACCTCGCCCTAAATCTCATCAGCTCGCCCACTTCACGCGCCGAACTTTGGATCTGGGCCATTGTCGGGTGCTTTCTCCAGCTGGCGTCGCTAGTTTTCAGTGGCCTAGCCACCTACCTTTTGAACTGGGCCGAAAGCGAGAACCCCAGATCGACGTATGAATACCCGTGTTACCTCATCGGCACAATCCTCCTTCGTGCAGGAGCAGCTGTGTACGGACATGTTTTCGAATCGGCCAGCCAAGAAACCACATTCCAGTGCGCTCCGAAGATGGGCGACAAGATGTGCATTCAATATTCTTGCACGGTCAGCGATCAGCGTTTCGATTCTTTCGCCCTTTTCAACCCGCCGGACAACACAGATATTCGACTCTCACATTTGGTAGGCCCGAGTCAAGCAACAAGGTATGGCATTGTGTTGCACCGAGAGAGAGAGAGAGCAGTGCTATGCGTGATGTTATTTCAGAGGCGGGGCCGTCATTTGCAGGTCATCCGGCGGATCACCCACCAAAACTGCCCTAAGATAACACATCGTTGGCAAAAACTACTGTATGTAATCAAAGGCTCTTGGTCACAATTCTCAACCCGCTCCCCTCGTTACCAACTAAATGAACCTTAACCGTCTCCGCCCTCGCGCTTAACGCCGCCTCCTCCAACCACACAGCCGTCTCCGCATGCTCCCCACAAAGCAGCACTAGCGGCAATACACTATCCCTCCAAAGCGGCAAACCCCTCGATTTCCACATGGCCACAACAACCGTAACCAGACTCAAGAACCAAATCGCAGCTGGCAGCGCAAACCAAGGCCACTCAACGCGTATATATGTCCCTGTCATAATGACTTCTCCCTCCGCCACATACGGCACCGCCGTCCCATTCCTCAACACAGCCTCATCCCTTACTGACTTCGTCATGGCCGCCCCCAGCGCTCGAAACGCACAAACCACATTATCATCGGGCGTAGGACACGTAGTGCCATTGAAATCGGCATAAAACACAGCCTGCAAAGCGTCGTTCTGTCTGGGGCTTGCGCCAAAAGCTGGAATATCGTGCACGCGAATTGCCTGGTTCGAATCATGCGTGGAAACCGTTCCCATCAGTTGCCCCCCAAGTGGATCGTGTCCGCCGTAAATGGAAGTGACGGACACGGCATCCAGCCATCTTGGATGTATAGTGTAATTCTTGCCTTCTTCCCAAGGAGGGGAGAGCACGATTGAGTCACCATAGCTATACTCGCCAAAGTCGGAAAAGGTGTCGAGTACTTTTTCGAAATACTCACCGCGAGCTACCGAGGCCTGCACGCGGCGGACGCAAGGGGATAAGGCGCATTCGGAGCCGATGAAGCGGGTGTCGGTTTGGAGTACGTGGATTCCGTTATTGACGAGTTCGCCTGTGGTTTCGAGATATGGGTTTTGAGTGCCGCCTAGTTGTTGCGGGGGCACGACGGCGCGGATGGACTGATAGATTGTTTGTGGCCATGTGACGTTGGTGAGAACGGTGGCGTTGGTAGGGACGGTTGAGCTGAGGACCATGTAGGTGGATGAACCGCCAAAGTTGGGGTCAGCGATGTAGTAGAGGCTGAGAGGTTCGTTTTCACCCGGGAACGTAACGGTGCAGGCTTGCACCGTGGTTATGTTGTTTGAGTCGGTGAGAGTCTCACAGGTGCGCTTGAGTTGGGGGGAGAGGTCGGCGCAGGTCGGGCAGAAGCCGAGCGTGGAAAAGGGCGCCCAGGTGCAGTTATTTGTAGGGCAATTGAAGCGTGGCTGGGAGAGAGTTTCTTGGGTAGGGACGAAGAGGGCGGTGATGGCGTTGGCCTTGAAAGTAGGGTCGATCGACCAGGTTGTGGAGTCAAGCTTGGGACCAAGAGAGTCGACGACATCGGCTCTGGCTAGCCATGCGGTTTGGGCGACATCGACGTATTCATGGTCGTAGAAATGGACGATTTGCTGAGCGAAAGGACCGGCGGCGGCACCAATCATGATGGCGAGTGCTCCGAGAACCGCGACGCTCCTGTTCCATAAGAGTCAGTTCGAGATGTCGCGAATGGAGGGGAAGAGGGTTGTTACATACCGCCCCTTGAGAGACCAAGCCAGCATAGCAGCGCCAGTCACGCCCCGGCTTCCGCTGTCAAACGTCTTATAGTCGATAAGACTCTTGCCATGGTCGGTCAACCAAACCCATTTCAGCTGGCTGATGGCACTTGTAGCCCCGTACAGGGCCGCCATCTTGGACACGACGGCGAGGATCGATATGAGGGTGTTGAAGGACAACGACCCCCAGTTGGGGATCCTCTGCCCATCATAGCGCCAAAGGACGTACACCATCGCGGTTAAGCCGGCGGCCGAAACCACCAAGCCGAACAGTTCGAAAATCCAGGTCGCACAAAGTCTCTGGATGAATGTAGACTTGTGAGGTGGACGGGCGAGGACAGAGGAGGGATACTGGCCGGGGTGGTGGACATCTGTGTCCGCGTCGGAGTGGACTTGTTGCTGCCATTGAACGGGATTGGCTTTGGGGCCGCCCTCTGCTGGAAGGAGATGTGACGCCTCAACCCACGTCGGGGGCGGGTGGGAAGCCATCGTTGGATAAACTATGTGATTTGAAGTCGCTGGTCCTAAAACTTAAAGGCGAAAGGTCTTGGATTCAGGGTCGGGTCTTATATTTCCTTAGCAGGCACACTCCGTCAGCAGACACTTGGAGGCATGGGCTGTTGACATGCCCATTGTACTGCTATTCGTTGAAGCCCGGAGCTGAGCAGCAATGACCACAGACACCTGGTCTCAAGACTATTACCCCTGTCCCGACAGTCCATCCACGTCCGCTCAAATCTCCTTTGGGGTGGTTGTCATTTTCTAAGGGGCCTAGACCCGTCAGCCCTAGTGCGGCGATAAGCCTGAGAGGAAGCGGCAAATGTATACACTACTCCCAAAACGGCAACCGCTCAAATCCAATCACTGCCTAGCAAGGTCAAACAAAGTGGCGCTTGACTCGGCACGCTAAATCCTTCCGAAATATTTGAGTGGGGAATAGCGTCCCGGCGGGTCCACAGGCAGCGCCATCGGCGAGGAAGGTTTCCAAAACGCGCAGCTGTGCGAGAACTATATCCCTCATGTTGGATTTGGCAGGTGGTCAGAGAGGGCAGTTCAGGGGTGACCAATGGCTTGGCACCAGGATTCTCAGGATCAGGAACAGGCAGGGAACTTCTGGAAAAACACAGACAGGAACAACATCATCAATTGAGTGGTTGCCCATCCTTTTGATACCCAACTACTACGGTGCGGCACATTCGTGGCTGTTGGCTTTCCAACACCTCAAGTGGCACCGCAGGACAGCGCTGCCGCCAAATCAAATCAAATAAATAGAAGCCTATATTTGCTTTACTTGCCTATTTCTGTCCCAATTTGTTATTTATTTACTTTATTTGCTTCTTATTTGACTAACGCTTACCTAACCTGATGTGAAGCTATTCCCGACCCTGCACTGACATCATCCCTACAGATTTCCAAGATGAATCACACCCGCAGTGATCCAATTCTTCAGTAACTGGATCTTTTCGATCGCCGAACCTCGAAGACTATGTCTCTGTGATGTCACGGCCAGCTTTGCGAGGCTGAAGGCCCTCTCACGGTCTGCAGACGTGGCTGGGATTGCTAACTGGTCGAGGGCAAACCGGCTCAATCGTGGGAACTCCACCCGATGGTCGGCCCACCACTTGACAGGATCACAGTCAGGTTGTGGCTTTAGTCGATAGTAAGCTTGGAGCTCACTTCCCAGGTCAGACTCCCTTGCTCGTGGCTTTTCATGAACTGCTGGAAGGCGTTGGACTCTTTTCGGCGCTGTTGCTGCCGCTCTCGACCAAGGGATGGCGACGGACTAAACAGTTTCTCCGCCGACTTGTCGGGATCCTGATACCAACGCTCGAAGTATTTCTCAAGGTCCTGCTTCGCGTCCACAATCCATTGACCTTGGTCTGCCCAGGCGCTCTCCAGCCATTGAATGTTTTTCCCGGGATGCAGAATAATAGCTGCCGCGAAAAGAGGACAGTCGCCGAGGAGAGTGTAATTGTCACGGGATTTCCCGTTCCTGTTGTCATGGTTATGTCTTATGCTTGCGGTTATGCATACGTCATGGGGTCTGATCATACGTCTATGGTCATGCTTACGCATAGGCCTCTGCTCCAGTACTTAAGGTCTGGTTGCACGCCCATTCCTGTCATCTAGCTCTTGCTCTCGTTGTAGCAATATCGATCTTGTATGTGCGAGCTGACCAGACCTTGGGTGGTGCCCGTCACACCGGGGCCCAAATCGGGGCTAGCAGTCGCTGATTCAGTGAGAAATAAGGCGTCAGTGCAGAGACTGCTTCCCTGAGGGTTCGTCATCCGGCGGCTCTGAGGTTGTTGCCGGACCCCAAGACGCGGCACCTGTGGACTACGTATGCCGAGTATCTCGCCTTCGAAGCGGAGTGCCTCAACCTGCTTGCCTGGGACGTGCGGAGACTGCAGAAAAGGGCGCAGGGAAAATACGAGGTGGCTCAGGCCTTGGTCAATCAGCAGCAGTGTAGGTTTGATTGGTTGCTGTCTGAGATTGGGAAGATCAAGGAAGAGCAGAAGGCTGCGGCAGGCGAGGGCAGTAGCGGCAAGACTGGCAGCAGCAAGAAAAGGAGGCCTACAACCTATGAAAATTCAAGTGAACCTCTTGCTTCGTAGCAATGGATGCCTTCAAGTGTTTCTCACAGATGTTTTGCTCCTTATACTTAGTTATAAACTGAGCGAGGAATACTGTATTCCTCATCTATACGGACCGTTAACGCCGCTCAAGTATATAAAGCGGGTCTCATTACCTCTTGGCCATTGATTTCCTGTTTCGCCAGGCTGGCTATCACCTTGCTGCTGAAAGCGGGACGTCCGTGTTTGACCTAGACTTAATCGAGAAAGTATTTCCAAACAGCTGCACGCGCTTCTCGGTGTAGCGCTTCATACCTTGAGGCCAGATTAGAGAGACAGATAAACAGCTGGCCGAGGTGAATGCCAAGCTAGGAGCATTCGGTATGGCGAAGCAGTTGGAGGATGAAACGGAAGCTGTAACGGGCTGGGCCCGGTGCGAGCCTCGGCGACTCTCGGCCAATACCAAGACTCCTGATGAGGCTATTCCCACTCGCCCCACAGCACACCGAACCTTCTAGCAACGCGCTCAGACCAGCGCGCCTACGAGGATAAGTATGCTTGCGAGCTACCAGAGTCTGTCGTCTCTCCTTTTCTTCTCCAAGTTCAGTGTACTCGTAGAGTCGTCATCAGCTAGTTGCAATATACTGCCTGAGACCGTTACAGAAGCCGACCGAGTTGGTGCGATCAGCCAGATGGCAGTCGAACAGACTGCCTTGGGTGAATCGCGGAAATTGTTCGAAGAACTGCTCTCAGGCATCCTTACCGCAGCCGCGAATGCCTGGGAAGACCAGGCTCAGGTGGTCAACAACTTCGGGGCCAGAATGAAGGCATGTAGTCTCACCTGCGGGGTGGCAACCGGTGCCGTATCACGAAGCTGAAGTCCATGAAAGCCAAGCCAGTACAGCCCGAATCAACCAAAGTATACACGGTATTATGCTTTCACCGTCAATGATATGGGAGGACAGTAAAATAGATTTTGCCGACGATCCCACTGTACTAATGAGCAGTCGATGTTGTCCCGACAAGCGTTGCAACGCGTTGGCTCAACACAAATCACTGAAAAATGCCCTCAAATCCAACATCTGCACCTTCAACGCAACGCAACGCAACGCGACTCCCGATTTGCGTTGCGTTGTTTCCAGCCTTGCCGAGGACCGGAAGCCGGTTTCGAACGCGACTGTACAGTATGCCGAGACTCGTTGAAACTTGAACCACAGGACAAATGGGGACGCGGCCCCAGGTGTCAACGACAAACTTGCGGTCAAGGCCAATGCTGCCCACAAGTCAAAGCGCCAAGCCAAGGCTTGGCTCAACGCAAGTCAAAGCAAGTCAAATCGACCCCAAAATTTGGTCAAGGCAAGTCAAGTCGAAGGCAGCTC